TATATATATATATATATACAGTATATATATATATATATATATATATATATGCAAAAAATATTATTCTTACAAAATGTCATCTAAAGTCATGTATGTATATATATATATATATATTCATGTAAATACTTTTTATGTACAGTATGTATGTATGTATTCATTCATTCATCCATCCATTTGATTGATTGAGTGCTGAAATTTGACTTTAGCTTGTTAGATGAGGTTTTGTAAGAATCATCCGATAATTTATTTATTTAGAGAATAGATGGATAAATAAGGATTCATTTTTAAACTAAAATATGACCTTAGTTTGGAAGATGAGGTTTTGTGAGATTCATCCAATAATATCCTTGTTTTTGTGTAATTATTTTATTTATTTAGAAAAACAAATGTTTAATTTTTCTTTTAATTTTGGACTGAAATATGACCTTAAGTTTCAACCAGTAATGTATTTTGCCAATAATATTCTGCAGGCCAAATTGCAAGCAAAATATCAACCATTTATCACCAACACACTGATATTGTTTTACCAACGCAAATTAAACATGATGTAAGAGCAGGTTTAATGTGCATGCAAGAGCAGCCCTGCATCTGAAGGTTTATTCATGTTTCTCCAGGGAAGAACCCGTCTGACGAGTACCTGGAGGGAATGATGAGCGAAGCTCCTGGACCCATCAACTTCACCATGTTCCTCACCATGTTTGGAGAACGTCTGAACGGAACCGACCCTGAAGACGTCATACGAAACGCCTTCACATGCTTTGATGAAGATGCTTCTGGTACAGCCTCTGTTCTAACAGACAGACAGTGTGCTCAAGTGGGCCATCTCGAGCTAAATTAATAGATTTAAATGCATGTTTTGCTATAATTATGCCCTCATGAAGGTTACAGGATTGACTTGTGCCCAAAAGTCATAAATCTACAAGCTTCTCAGAAAGAGCATATTTTCTGTACAAAATCATAGTAACTAAGTTCATATTTTAAGATTTCCCCCTGACAAACATAACAAATGTAAGATAAACCCATTAAAAAAAACTATTTCTGAAATAGTTCATTATACATTAAAATGTAAAACATAGGTTTAGGTTAGGGGTCGGCAACTCTTTCATCCGGGGGACGTGGGGGACGTGTTCCCCTGATTTTAATAAAACCTAAACTCTTCCCTTGCACTTTTTTCGGACAACATAGATGTTCTCAAGGGCCAGTGTGAATAAATTTAGATTTAAATTAAAAGAGACAAGTAATAATAACTTTTGATGTGCCAGGAAATCCCTAATATGGACAAAGGCATCCAGCTATCGCTGTAGAAGCTGAATAACAAGCATAAACCATAACTGATGAAACTGAAGACAATAAACAATTGCGACAATATATGGTTTATGTGTGTTTTTCAAGTCTTCTCCAGGTAATAAAGCAAATGAATGACACAGTGCTAACTGACATAGCATTTATTACATTACAGAAGCTATAAAATATATTTTCAGCCTTATTCTGTAAAAAGTGTTTGTAGTATATAAACCAATCATAATCATAAAATTGTCGTTAGGAAAATATATATCAAAAATGTTATAGAATACAAATTATTGGTTATTGTCCAGCAGTGTATTTTATTTCTTAGCCAATTAAAAGACATAAGAAAAGTTTTTTTTGTCAATTAGACAAACATACATAAATAAATATTATTATTATTATTATTAATATTACATTTGACATTTCTGTCCCCCTCACTTCTGAAATGATTGCTACGTCCCTGCCCTGTAACATAACTGAATATAAAACTTTAGCTAAGCTGTGTTATCTTCATTTAGAGATCAAATAGGTTTTGTGGCTCCACGTGAATTTTATTCGGTGGGAAAGGGGCCAAAATTGCTCTTTTGAAGGTTGCAGACCCCTGGTTTAGGGTATTGAGTTAAATTATATATACAGTGTGTGTGTTTATATATATATACACACACACACACACACACATTTTTACAAATATTTCATTACCTTAAACAGGGTTATTATAGGTTTTATAAATCATTTATCATGCTTTTTTAGTTCAATTTGATGTACTAAAATATAAAAACTATATAGACATTTAAAAAATGACAAAAACAATAAAATTAATAAAAATGTTACTAAAATTAAAATATGATATTATGAAAAAATATATTAATAAAAACTATATTAGTATTTCAATGATACTGACTAAAAAAGCATCATCATGCCACGAAAAATAATAATAAATACAATTTAAATTAAATACATTTATTGGATTTTTGCTGATCTGTTTAGAAAGTTGTTTATATTATTATACGCAGCAAAATCCCCCGAGTTAAATCAACTCTACTCAGAGTACATATTGTCCCAATCTACAGAGTGTTGAAGTAACACTGAAGCCGAGTTAAAGTTAATGGGATGATTAAGCAATTAATTAATTGATGAGTGAGCATTAGTAAAGAAATGTTGAAGATGAACAACTACAGCTCAGGCTTTTAGACATGAAAACATATCACATAATCCTCAACAGTGGTAACTCTGCTTCAGTGTTACTTTAACACTCTGTAGATTGGGAAAATATGTACTCTGAGCAGAGTTGATTTAACTCTGATGCTCATCAAAAAAATGCCATCAGCTGTTCATAGTCAGACATTTGTATCCATGTTTGAAAGACACAAACGGCACCTGTTTTTCTTATTCATGACTCAGAGACATCTTAAGTGGTTGTGATCTTCACATATAAGAAACTGAACCTTTTCTGCCGTCTGTAACAGGTTTCATCCATGAGGACCATCTCCGCGAGCTGCTGACCACCATGGGGGATCGTTTCACAGATGAAGAAGTGGACGAGCTCTTCCGCGAGGCGCCGATCGACAAGAAAGGAAACTTCAACTACGTGGAGTTCACTCGCATCCTCAAACACGGAGCCAAAGACAAGGACGACATATAAAAACCAGCACCAGATCCATTCAGCGTCTTATTATATACGTGCAGATCCTTTATATCCAATGCTACTGATGATCCAACACTTCAGTCTTTTTTTGAGACAACAAGAAACCACATTGCAATGCACTAGAAACCATTCAAAACGCCTTACCATATCACACTGGCAAGTGTTGCATGTGCGAACATACTTTAGATCCAGTATTTGATCTGTTTTCTTTCTTTCTATCTCCAGATAAAATCACCTGTGTAAGTTATCAGAGACTGGAAAAATAGATCAATCCAAAAGGAATCTTTAATCCCAAACATGTTGAAGATTAGCTGACAGGCTGTTGATTCATTCAACAATATGCTAATTTCCCACAAAAGCAGTTTATTCAGCGTAGTGAAGCCTCTCCTCCATTGACATCCATTCAAAAAAGGGCATCTGGTCTTTCTTCCCTGTAGACTTGTTTTGCAAACTTGAGGTTTGCCTTAAAGGGATAGTTCACTACTAAATGAAAATTACCCCATAATTTACTCACCCTTAAGACATCCTAGGTTTATATGACTTTCTTCTTTCAGACGAATACAATCGGAGTTATATTAAGAAAACGTCCTGGCTCTTCCAAGCTTTATAATGGCAGAGAATGGGTGTTGAGATTCAATAATCCAATAGAAGTCCAAAAAACTGCGACAATCCCTCATTAAAAAAAAACCACACACATAGATTCTCTTCAGGAGGCCTTTAATAACCCCCCGGAGTTGTGTGGGACACTTTTTATGATGGATGGATGCACTTTATTGGACTTTTTTTGGACTATTGAAAAAAAAACACCCACTCACTGCCATTATAAAGCTTGGAAGAGCCAGGACATTTTTTAATAGGACTCCGATTGTATTCGTCTGAAAGAAAGTCATATACACCTAGGATGCCTTGAGGGTGAGTAAATCATTTGATAATTATTAATTTTGGGTGAACTATCCCTTTAGAGCAGCTTTTGCTACACTTGCGTTTTTCACGGTATTTACCCGCTCATCAAACAACAAACAGAAGTCATTAGTAGTCTATTAGTAGTCAGCGTACACTCTAAAAAATGCTGGGTTAAATACAACCCAGTGCTGGGTAAAATAGGGACAAACCCAGCAATTGGGTTGTTTTGGCCCAGCGGTTGGGTTAAACGTTTAACCCAACCTTCTGGGTAGTAACCCAACCGCTGGGTCAAAACAACCCAATTGCTGGGTTTGTCCCTATTTTACCCAGCACTGGGTTGTATTTAACCCAGCATTTTTTAGATTGTACATCAGAATGATTTAGAAACCTATATTGCATGGTAAAAAAAAAAAAAACGTACATACAGTTGTTTCAAACTGGTTGATCTTGACAAATGCTGTCAACATTATGATTTGTGAAAAAATATTAGAATAGAGTGAAATTATTTACTTCTCTTCCCACCACTTTGTCCAAAATGACACCACTTCCAGTGTGTCGCATTTTGTAAAGGGGAGAAATCACGCAGTAATTTTAGCTACACTGTTAAATATTAGTAAATTGAATAAAAAAAAAGTTCATTAAATGTATATTTTTATCTATATTAAATTCATCATATCAATATTTTAAAACTATGACAACTATAAGAGTGCCGTTTATCACTAAAGCAGTTGATTTAACACTGGTGATTCACTATAAACACAAACAAAAGTGCAATAAACAAGCTGATGGTTGAACAAACACAAGATGGCATGTATGAAAGCATCCGTACAGGCCCTCACCATCAAGCTCGGAAACAGAGAATATTTCTCTCCAAAGTTAGCATAAAAACAATGACAATGTGAAATACATTTGATTTGTGTCCATTAGCATCTGACACAACGGTGCACATATATGTTCAACAACGTCCTTCAATTAAATCTGAGGCATCACCTGTTGAAAAAAGGAAAGAAAAGCAAATAAAATAAAAATAAATAAATAAAATAAAAAATATATATATACAAAGGCAGGCGAGATGTCCATTGAAAGTCTGTAAGTGTGTTGAGTCCAATGTAGCCCTATTAAGATCTGATGGGTTTGAGTTCATTGATGTTCAATCGTGAGCAAATAATCAATCCTTCCACAGGAACAGAAAGGCTTTAGGACTCTGATATTGCTATGACATGCAGAGTTCAGAGATTTGTGCTGAGTATCAGTATCTGTTGGAAAAGCAGGTCAGGTAACACGAGAACAGAAAAACACGGCAAAGATGAAGGAGAACAAACTGGTTGAAAATGTGAGCGTTCACACGCCTGGACCGGATGATTGAGAAAACCACTTTTCATCAAACAAACAGAAACATAAGGTGCTACTTTATTACTCAAATCAATTGTGTGAAATCTTTGACGAATCTGGGCATTCTGAGCCGTGATTGGGCCAGAAATGTATCAAAATGTATCAAATTCATATCTGTAATAAAATGGCATGAAAATAAATATACAACTTGAATGTGAATGGTTCAACTCTGCGTAACAAATGTGACCATGTTTAAATTCATGCAGAATTTACATTAAAATCAGAGCAGAAAATGTTTATGCTTCAGTAATTATTTGGAAATTATTCAATATTATTTATTCAATTCCTCTTCATGTTCTGGGTATTTTTATCTCCTGGCAAAGAATTGAATCTTGAATGGGAAATTAATTAATAATTGGGCTTTTGCCGCCAAAATTTTAACATAAGAGTGGCACGATTTGTAACTTGATTGTGCGAATCAACCTGTGGCAACAGTTGATATATAAGTGGCCCAAATCTGCAGAAAGAAAAAACGCAGACTTGGCTTTCTACTGGTTTTCAGCAGGGATGAACAGACCCCTCGCTCACATGCAATCTAATAATCCATTAATAATCAGATTGATGGCTCAGTCGGATTGCTCGATCCGATTACAAACAGTGGTACAGATCTATGTAATCTGTTAAACAGAAAATGATTAGCCATACATTTGATATCAACTATGTTCTCAATCAGATTAAAAAAACATTGCGCACTTGCGCAGCACTGTGGTTCGTAACTTTATTAACACTTTACGAACTGATCAGGGGAGGAGACTTAATAGTTGCAAAATTTTTGCTAAAAAAGCATTTCAGACTAATTTTCAAATATGTGATCCTGGACCACAAAACCAGTCATAAGGGAAATATTGAGAAAATCATCTTTAAAGTTGTCCAAATGAAGTTCTTGGCAATGCATATTACTAATCAAAAATTACGTTTTGATATATTTACGGTAGGAAATTTACAAAATATCTTCATGGAACATTATCTTTACTTAATATCCTAATGATTTTTGGCAAAAAATCTATAATTTTGACCCATACAATGTATTTTTGGCTATTGCTACAAATATACCCCAGCGACTTAAGACTGCTTTTGTGCTCCAGAGTCACATATGTGAACAAGGGAAAAACGCCACTTATGCTCGCAGTTATTTTCTGGTGAACATACACCAAGATTTTGTTCGAAACAATGTAAATGAAACAAACAAAAGTTTAGGGTACATATAAACATTACTTTAAGAATGTAAAGTTGCATTAGATCCATTCGGATTGATGAAAATCAGTGCATGTAAAAATGTCTATAAAGTTTTCTGCTGTAGAACAAAAATTGAAAGGGAGAAAACACACACACACACACTACTGGTCAAAAGTTTGGAATAATTAAGTGTTTTTTTTAATGATTCAAATGATCTTTCTGAAATCATTCTAATATGCCGATTTCTGATTATTATCAATGTTGAAAACAATTGTGCTGCTTCATATTTTTGTGGAAAAATTAAACATTGTTTTCAGGATTCTTTGATGAAATGAAAGTTCCAAAAAAAAAAATCCAGCAATTATTTAAAAAAGAAATATAGCTTATGTAAGGGATAATGTACATCCAGCCAGTTGTTATCTCAGATTATTACACGGCTCTGTGGAATACTTGATTCTGATTGGTCAATCGCGCCATCCAGCGGTATGTTATTCCAAGATAACAACCGCCAAATTGAGTAACACACCGCTCATCCGGGTACTACGAGTTATCTTGACCGGTACTACTTATATGCTTAACGAGTCACTCCGCTATCGTTGACTGTCTGGCGCCATCTTGTGACTCCGCTTCGCATCGGGGTCCTGATCACCCTGTCGGGGTTTATTCTGAAATAACAACTGGCTGGATGTACATTATCCCTTACATAAACCCCGACAGGGTGATCTGGATGGCGCGATTGACCAATCAGAATCAAGTATTCCACAGAGCCGTGTAATAAAACATAATAAATGTATTCACTGTCACTTATGATCAACTTAATTGAAAAAAAAATAAAAAATCTTACATAACTCAGACTTTTACATGTTGTGCATCAGTTTCCACGAAAATATTAAACCGCAAAAGCTGTCTTCAACCCGACAGGTAGTGTGTTCAGGGCGAGTCCAGGATGAAGAACTCCGTTCATGCCTCAGTCATCATCATCATATGAGCAAATGGAAGAGATGATGACTCGTGTTCAGAGACTCATCTACATGTTGAATCCAAACTAAAGCAAGTCTGAACTTGATGCACCACACATACAGTGAAAATCAAGCTTCTGAAACATTCTTGTGAGCCAGCAGGACTCTTCAAGGTCTGATACAGAGGGAATGAACTTATGAAGACTCCTTCAGATCTGATGCGATGGAATGCTACATTTCTCCAAATCTGATATTTACTATTATAATAACAATAAATTATGCATAATTACATGCAAGTAAACCTAAACCAAACCCCAGTCCTAACCCTAACCATATGGTAAGTACATGTAGTTAATTAATATTACTCAGTACTTAAATGTTTAATTATAGGGCTGGGTAAAAAATATCGATATCTCGATATTAATCGATTCTCATTTTTACAGAACTATATCGATTCTTAAATCCCAAGAATTGATTAGTCTAGCCTGTTTTCAGTTAATGGATGGAACATTGAAGCGTACTTCCCACCCAAAATATCGAAATAAGCATTGTGCTTTGGTACTTTTAATATGAAACAAAGTCTCAGATTTCAAATTCTGTCCATTGTATTGCAGTATTCAAACAATAAATGCCGTTTTGGCGCTGTTTAATGTGGAGTGACAGATCGCTGTAGCGCCTCAGTTCAGCAGACGCAGCAGCGCGAGGCGCACGTGAACTGATCATCTCCTCCACATTAATACCAGTTTCAGCACAAAATAAACATGACTAAACATCCGAAGGTAAGTTAAAAGAAAGAGTACAACTTTACAATCCGTATCCTGTCTCATGTAATCGCTCAATCAGTGTTTCAGCCGTGCAAATACGTCAATATAATGGCTTGTAAACAAAGTCACGTAACGTTACATTTACCTCAGAAAAACATATTCGGTGACCATAAACTCATTAGTCAGATAGAAAAATAAACTGTAAAGAGGGGCATTTTGCTAAATATATGCACCATATAACATATTCATTATACAGTTTACTGTTCTTCAATGTTTAATTTATGTTTAAAATAAATCCATCAAGTTTTTATGACAGCCACCATTATGTTTATATTTAAAAACAAAACAAATTGAAGTAGAAATGTTATTATGTTATTGTAACTTTATTATTTTAAAAACTTCATTAAGTGTAATTTTAACAAATCAGTCAATTTTAACCTTCAATGTTAAATAGTAACGTAGTACCAACTGACTCTCATGTATATTTTACAGCATTAGTTGGGAGATTTTTTTTCCTTGAGAAAATTTGGCATGTACTGTACCTGATATATATCCAAAATAATCGATATTAATGAAAGTGGCATCAAATCTCCTGCACGAACATTCATTTCATTCATCATTTAAACTTCATTTTCCACCTTTGGCTTCATTGAAATTGGCACATGAACAAACCGGCAGTGATTCTCCAGGATCATAACTGTGAAGTGTGTTCAAATCTTTTTAATATGCACAGCTAACTAGAAGTAAACCATTAGTGTAAATACTGACACTTCTGGGCTCCTTGTGTGGAAATCTGAAACAACTTTTCCAAATCAGCAAGTTCTGGGTAACGGACATTTTTAATATCGGACAGAAAATAATCATTAAAAACATCTTCGATCACAAATGACGGGCTCTGATTGGTCACACGCACACAGACACACGGCTGGAACCGATCCCAAATCATCCGGAAACACATGGAATGACTGGACAACAAAAACACAACTGAAAGCTTGAAAATTATAATAACATTAATAATAATAATATTACAAAACAAACAGACTGTTGGCCCAAGTAAAAATCTGGACATTGTCATTGAGTTTTTAAAACATTCATCATAAAAACAAAGCCGAGTGGTCATGTTTTAACCCTATTAAATAACGAGAAACTGACAGATGGATGGCTTGACGTGCTCAGTGCACATTTACGAGACAAATAAAACAAGCTGCATGAGTGTTTCTGCGTTAAACTTTACTGGAGTGAATCAAACAAAACTAGTGGAGTGCTAAAATCCGCTTCTGCTGTGCTATTCTACCACGTCCTACGGCGATTCGCTTCAAGTATCCGTAGTTCCGTCGAAACATTTCCATTCAAGTGAGAGAGTCACGCAATCGTGCTCCAAAAACTGGTGGGAAAAGGAAATCGAAAGGTTTGTGAGAACAGGAAGACTGGGCTGATGAAAGACAAGTGCACACGTGCGGGATCCTGAGTGCATGCTGTGGGAGGGGCGTCCGTGGGTCATGTGACGTGTGAAGCGGGTCATGTGACGCGTGTAAAGGGTCTGAGATCTGAACGAAGGTTTTTTCATCAGAGATATTAGCACAATTTTCAGACGAAGTCTTGATATATTTCCATGAGATAACTAACTTTTATAATTATTACAAGAGTAGCCATAGAAATTAATGTCAAGGGGGAGGTTCTTCTGTGGCAGCGGTGACACGCTAGCGTTCAAATTCAGTTTTTTGCTCTTTCTATTTTGTATTTTTTGCTCGTTGTTTTCGGCGGTTCGCCACACGACGCTGCACGAGTCCGTGAGCGCTAAAGAGTCTGCTCGTGAGGAGTTTGTTATTTTGTGGTTTATTAGAGTCGCGTCTGAGCCTCGGGGACGTAGATCTCAATGCTTTCGGCGCTCTCGGTGGCAGAGTTCTGTCGTTCAGAAACCGCTCGCTTGGCCGCCATCAGCCGCTTTCTGGCCTCCTGACGCTGCTTGTCGGCCACCGAGTCGCTGCTTTTCTCCTTCCCTCCGGAGGTTTTGACCTTTACCGTCTTCTTTGGGGTGTGAGCGGACTTCTTCTCCTCCTGAAGACATTCGTTCAACAATTAAAATCTGTATTGTGTTAAATATTGCACTCATTGCTAAAATAAAAAACATAAATATACATCTATAAAATTCATTTACAAAATAAAACCTGTAAAAAATACTGAAGATGTTATTATTTTTAACGATTAAAACAAATTAATAATAAATAAGAAAATATTAATATATTTAATCATTTTTAATTAAATAAAATACAATAAAAAAAGAAATAAAATGTGTAACTATTAAAATACATTATTAATATATTATATTAATTAACAATAAAATATAAAATGCATTTATAAAATACATATTAAAATAAATTTAATTATTTTAAAAATAAAATACAAAAAGAATATAATGTATAAAAATCTAGTATTACATTTCTAAAATAAGAAAACAGAAAAAAATCTTAAATTAATATTATTTGTAAACATTACAATTATTATTAGATTTATAAAAAATAATATTTAATAGGGATGCACCGAAATTTCAGCCGTCGAAAATGACATTTACGTTTTATTTTCCTATGTAGAATACTTGCACCTGTTTGCAATAGTGCTACTGTGCTGTAACATGGCAAAGCTGGTAAAATGACGCTCCCGTCTCGTTCACTGATCTGCTGCCCGCTCTGCTCTGCTCACATGCTATGATAAGAATAGCTTTGAAGGACTTTACATTATTTGGATAATTGGTCAAAAAAAAAAAAAAATCTGTTAAATCTGATTCGTTGCATAGAACTGAATAAGATAAAATATATTGATATTTAATATTAATATATTTTCTGTCCAATTTGTTCTGTTACTTTCAATAAAAGTGTGGTTATTTTTTTGGCTTGTATTTTTTAAAATTCAGTATCATTAAAATTATTGAGCTAAATTTCAAAGTCTTACAAAATTACTTTATATTATTTAATAAAATAATACATAATTATTAAAAAGCATTTTCGGTTTCGGTTTTCAGCCGAGTGCATCCAGAATTTTTGGTTCCGGTTTCAGCCCAGAATTTTCATTTCAGTGCATCCCTAATGTTTAATCATTATTATTACCTTTTAACCTTTTAAAATGCACACTACTGCTAGTTTATAATATTAAACACATTTATAAAATTCATACTAAGTTAAATATTAAATTATTTATAAAATAAAATACAGAAATTTATCAAATAAATTACATTTTACATTTCTAAAATATAAAAAAATATTTAATAAATATAAAATAATATTTACCCCCCCAAAAAAGTATTAATATT